TATATATATATATATATATATATATATATATATTTAAGGTCATTATAATATACATTTATTAGCATTGTGTTATATAATATAAATTGTGTAGTTATTTGATACTCATATATTAATATTGTTTGTGAATTATATTTTAAAAAAATAATATATTAATTAATAATAAAATATTTAGTGTAATTAATCGCATATTAATTAATATTTTTAATTATATATATATATATATATATATATATATATTTTTTTTTTTTTTTTTAGCTTACATTACTTTCAGTGCAGCAGCTAATGTTAATAATTATTATTGTAATGAATTAGTGTAATATAACATTTATATTTATGGAGAATTAATAATAATAATAAACTGTAAATATTATTTATAGTATAAAATTGGATGTTACATTTTTATATAATAATAATTGACATTTAAATCATTGTTTCATGTCTGTTTTTTTCTCTTTGTGAATAGCAGTGGAAAAATACTTTTTCAATGGATTTCAACCCAAAGGTTGCATGTTATATTATTATTATTATGTTTTACACAACAGTAACTCTAACTGAAATTTGTATAGAGAAAATACTGAGGAGAGGTGTCTTAGGCTCAATTTTGCTGGTCACTTCCATACACCATCAGCTGTTGAGAGACTCGGACACAATGCTCTCCATCATTGGTCAACACTACAAACACACACACAATTATCCTCAATAAAGAAATAGCTCATATACATAAACTCCTGAAAGCCTGTCTGCCAGTGTGAAGCAGAGGCACGTGGGATTGATTAGGTCTTCTGATCCAGATGTTGTGTTTTTTGCACATCTGCATAAGGTCACAGTGAGATGCAAAATGGGACGGCCTGAAAACAGCGATGTTTGGAGGTGTTTTCTCTCCTCTTTGGAGATCCTCAGACTAATGATGGACTGTCAGTACGCGGTGTTAAAGCGCTCTGATGGAGTTTGTATTGATCACATGCTGTTAGATATTCACACCCGTCAGCACTACTGCCACACACACACACATCCTACTCAACCATCACTGATTAATCATACTGATTCATATAGAAATGAAAGACAATGCTGGACTTTTTTGGAGATATTTAGTATCTGCAGCTATTTTTTCATTGTTTTTAAAGGATTTAATCTAAAAGTTATTCTATTTATACTTGTAAAACTCATTTTTCATCACATTTGTTGGTAATTGGTGATCACAGTGAGCTGAACTGATCTTTTATTCCCGGTTGCTTTGCAAACATCCTGTCTTGTTGATATGATCATACACGTTACTATGAAGACATGTTAATGCAGTGCTCTCAGTTAAATCGGTGGGCGGGGAAACCAGCAGGATAACGCACCATGTCATAAAGTGTGAATCATCTCAAACTGGTTTCTTGAACATGACAATAAGTTCACCATACTCAAATGGTCTCCACAGTCACCAGATCTCAATCCAATAGAGCCGTCAGCCTCAAAATGGGAGGGATTTGGATCCTTTTTTAACATCAGGACATTTAAAAAATAGACTTATTGTGTTTCTATCACTCCAATAAGACGGTGAACACACTTTACCTACACACACTTCTGTCCAAACAGCTTACAAAAGATAATTTTCACAATAGGCGCCCCTTTAAAATCTTTGAATGATGATTTTTTTTAATGCACTGCATGTTAACAAAAATTTAAAATTGATGACTTTAATCAACTAATGTTAACGCTGTTAATAAATACTGTAATGAATGTATTGTGAATAACATTAAACTAACATTTACGAACGGAAACTTACTGTTAAGTGTACAAAAACTGTAAAAAATAATACTAAATAAATAAATAATATATCATGTAATATAATTTCAATATATAAATCTACATTTTTGCACTGAGAAGTAGATATATTTTCAATTTTTGGATTCAATTCTCTATTTCCAGCAACTTAAAATTTATTGTTAGCTAAATTAACACATACTCTGTCATCTTTGGAACAAAATGTCCCACTGCAAATTAGTAGTGATGACTTCATTATTTTTTCAGGGATAAAATGGAAGGCTTCAGACAGAAAATGTCTGTTAAGACAACGCAATCTCACGGCAATTCGTAACTTTTTGATTTAGTGGCTAAATAGTATGATATAATTCGTACAATTTAGTACGATGTGCCCATCACCCAATGACGGTTGGGTTTAGGGGCGGGGATGGGATGGGTGCCACGCCTTCTTTTTAAAATCGTACATTTTCGCACGACTCAACTCGCATGAATTCGTACGGATTAGCCACTAAATTGACAAAACGTAAACTACATTTCCTCGTGAGATCAAGATGATAACGATGTTAAACTATCTGCACCGCCTTATACTTCAGGCTCATTAAACATTAAAATCCTTTAATGATGATTTTTTTAATGCACTGCGTTAACAAAAAATTTAAATTGATGACTTTAATCAAGTAATGTTAACACAGTTAATAAATACTGTGATGAATGTATTGTAAATAACATTAAAATAACATTACAAATGTAAACTTACTGTTAAGTGACCAAAACAGTAAAAAATAATACTAAATAAATTAGTAATTATCATGTAACATAATTTCAATATATAAATCTACATTTTTGCACTGAGAAGTAGATATATTTTCTTTCTTTTTTTTATTCAACTCTGTATTTCCAGCAACTTAAAATTTTTAATGCACTGTGTTACAAGAACTACAAATGTATGACTTCACTTTCATTAATGTCAGCTAAATTAACACATACTCTGTCATCTTTGTAACAAAATTTCCCACTGCAAATTAATAGTGATTAGTAGTAGATTAGTAGTGATAACTTCATTAATTTTTTCTGTGATAAAATGGAAGGTTTCAGACAGAAAATGTCTGTTAATTTGTAATTTGTTCTGACAATTCGTAACTTTTTGATTTAGTGGCTTAATAGTATGATCTAATTCGTACAATTTAGTATGATGTGCCCATCACCCAATGACCAATGGTTGGGTTTAGGGGCGGGGTTGGGATGGGTGCCACGCCTTCTTTTTAAAATCCTACATTTTCGCACGACTCAACTCGCTTGAATTCGTACGGATTAGCCACTAAACTGACAAAATGTAAACTACATTTCCTCGTGAGATCAAGCTGATTACGATGTTAAACTATCTGCACCGCCTTATACTTCAGGCTCATTAAACAGTACAATAAATCTAAATAATTTACAGTGCTTCAAAATTATTCAACAGAAAGAGCAAGATAAACTTACAAATTGGTCTAAACCAGCTGCATGTATGTTAGACCCTTCCAGCCACAACCCAGTACTGGGAAATTGATTACAATATTTAGACATTATTTTAAGTCATGTAGGTCTAGTCTTAAATGAAATGAGTGCTCTATGAAGGGTTCAATTAAATTACACTCGTAAGCTGCGTCTCAAATGGCACGCTACACTATGCACTCATGCACTATGTACTTGTGCACTTACACACTCAACAGTATAGTAGATGTATGTAGTGTTGTCCCAAATGGCACACTTACGTTTTTTTATCAAGCGGAAATTCAAACAGTTTCTCTGATGATGTTTGATGGTTGCCAAATCAGTGAAATAAAAGACCAAACTATCAAATAATACCTGTCATGAGTATAACCACATTCACCATCGGAAGGCGCTATAAACACTTTCATGGGAGAATTTTGCTTTCTCAATCCAAAATAAATAAAGTTATCCAACATGTGCGCCCGATAGCTCCACCCCTTCCGCTACGTGAGCAAACCTGCCGTCGTTGAGTGCGTGAAGTGTCCAACATTACACACTTCATTTTACTGGCTGAATGAGTGCATCATCCGGGTAATTAAAGTGCACTTGTTATTTTTAGAGTTTTCAGTGTGAACACACTACTTACACTGTTTATTCTACAAAATGGCGTAGAATAGTATAAGAATGCGATTTGGGACACAGCATTTGTTGTGATGATTTTAATAACTCATCTTCGACACACAAGCGCTTGCTCCACTATCAGACAAACTCTCCTGAAGAAGCAGTTTACCTGTCAGTTCATTGAAGAAAACATCAACAATCAGGCACATTTCTTACATTTGTTACATTGCCGTCTTTTCACATCCGTGTCTAATTTGTAATAGAGTTAATTGATTGATTGATGAATCAATTAATTGTGTATTTGTGCGTGTGTTTCAGAGTCGACAGCTGGAATCGGAGTCGGGAACCACTGAAGAACACAGTCTGAACAAAGAGGCCAGGAAATGGGCCACACGTGTGGCTCGCGAACATAAGAACATCATCCATTACAAACGGGTGAGAGGAGCACACATTATCACACACACACACACACACACACACACACACACACACACACACCTATTGTTGTTCAGCAGGAACTCCCATAGGCGTATTGATTTTTATCATTACTGTACAAACTGTATATTCTCTCCCCTACCCCTAAAATCAACACTCACAGCAAATAATCCAACAAAATACCTCATTCTGTGTGATTTATGAGCTGTTTTACTCATGGGGACCAACGGTCAAAATGTACCGGTATTGCTATACATGTGGGGACGTTTGGAGGTTCAGGAGTGTTGCGGTGTGCAGTGATGCTGAGGTTAAATTAAAACTGATTCTGCGCTTCTTCTCCTCTCTTTCAGGCTCTGGAGGAATGTGAGACTCTCGGGACTCCACCGACAGAGCAGAGCCGAAACGAGCTGGAGTTCAGGATAGAAGAAGCCAAGGAGAACATCCGAAAAGCAGAGGTGATGTTCTGCACAATCTCACACATGCCTGCGGCTTTGTTTCCATCCACCTATTTTTATGCGCATTTGAAATATAGCATAATGTAAACCTCAATATACACATAACTTGATAGCACTTTATTTTAAATGGGACCTTGTGTATGTGAAGTTTCAGCTCAAAATAGCTCATGAATAATGTTTTATATTACTGAAGCTGACACTTACCTTTGACTGTGTCGTTTTGGTGACTGTCGCTTTAAATTCAAATTGTGCTCAGATTGTGCTCTTTTCAAAAGAGGGCGGAGCTACAAATGCCTGTGCATCAGCATAGTGGCAGATTTAAAAGACTAACGTCCTATGCTAATAATGGAAGTGATGGTCACTAGTGGGAGGGGCCTTCTCCCTCTGATGACACGTGCAAAGGGAGAATGTCAATCAAAGTGTTTCTGCAGACTGTTTATTGTCAAGTCTGATTATAAGAAATAAAATGAATACATGTTTACCATTAGAAGCTGCTTATATTCACACACTCTTACCACACAACTCTGTTTAAACCCCTTATGAAAGTGATTTTTGCATAATAGTTACCCTTTAGGTGACCATTTATGCTATTTACTACTATTACCTATTATTAATATATTAATTGTTTATTAGTAGCTATAAAGTATGATCTTATTGTACATCCTTAATCCTAACCAATACCTAAACCTGACTACTGCATTACTAACTATTAATTAGCAGTTTGTTCCAGTTAATGGTTTGCTAATAGCATGAATTGTTACTTAAACTGTTACCAGATCTTTTTTTTATCTTTTAAGAAAAATAGGTCCGTGAAATTTGTTGGAATAACGTCCTGAATGTCTTTGAATATGTTTTCTACATATTAAAAACTCTGTTTGGAAATGACAGCTGCAAATGATATAATTGAATTTTGATTTTGCACCAGCCATTGTACATACACTCACCGGCCACTTTATTAGGTACACCTTACGATTACCAGGTTTGACCCACTTTTGCCTTTAGAACTGCCTTAATCCTTTGTGGCATAGATTCAACAAGAAACTGGAAATACTCCTCAGAGATTTTGCTCCATATTGACTTAATAGCATCACGCAATTGCTGCAGATTTGTCGGCTGCACATCCATGTGAATCTCCCATTCCACCACATCCTAAAGGTGCTCTATTGGATTGAGATCTGGTGACTGTGGAGGCCATTTGAGTACAGTGAACTCATTGTCATGTTCAAAAAAACAGTCTGAGGTGATTCACGCTTTTTCCTGCTGCAAGTAGCCATCAGAAGATGAGTACACTGTGGGATGGACATGGTCAGCAACAATCAGGTAGGCTGTGTTGTTGACACAATGCTCAATTGGTACTAATGGGCCCAAATTGTGCCAAGAAAATCTCCCCCACACCATTACACCACCACCACCACCAGCATGATACGAGGCAGGATGGATCCATGCTTTCATGTTGTTGAGGGCAAATTCTGACCCAACCATCCGCATGTGGCAGCAGAACAGAGCTGTACCTAATAAAGTGGCCTGTGAGTGTATGTCTTGGAAAATGCTTATTAAAATACAGAAATACATTGACAATTTACATGTTGCATTGGCATTTTGCATATTACATTTCAAAATTAATTGTGCATCTCATATGCTTCCATAGTTTTCCACAGTGTGTGTGAATGAATGTGTGTTTGTGTGATGGATGTGATGTGTGTCCGGTAAGGTGAGATGTGTGTTGTGTTTTCTCAATGGCTCCCTCTGCTGGCGCTGTCTCAGATATTACAGGAACAATAATTCAATTCTGAATGACACTTGTGTTGTTTAATTTCTGTCATGTGCCTTCAGGTCCAAATTCCTCAAAGAAGAGTATTCTGATGATATTTACAGTTTTTTTTACATGCAAAAAAAGATATGGAGATGTCACATTCAAAAGAGACAATAAATATTGCCCTGTGAAATTATTTTTCTTTCCAACTCGGTTATTTCTTCGGCAGATTCTGTTTTTGGCTTGTCTGTGTTACTTGAGTGAGCTTTAATGGTAATGTAATTTGTTTGTGATTAAAAAATATCTTGTGTTTAAACTCATGAAACTTTTACAATTTAGCAAGAATTTGTTACATCTGTTTTAAAGTCATTGCTATTTATTACGTTCTTACTATTTATTAAAAGATGTAAAAATTTGTCATTTATTACGTTTTACACACACACACACAAACACACACACACACATACAAATAAATATACACATAAATATATCTTATGTTTTATGTTCAAATGTTTAAAAACAGGAATGTGCATACAGTAAATATAATGACATTGAAATATATTTATATTTAAATTGTAATAAACATATTATTACATTGCAACATATATTATTCAGTATATATGTTAAAGTCAGAATTATTAGCCCCCCTGTTTATTTTTTTTCCCCAATTTCTCACATTTCTAAACATAATATTTTTAACAACTCATCCCTAATAACCTTTATCTTTCCTTTATCTTTGCCATGATGACAGTAAATAATATTAGATTAGATATTTTTCAAGACACTTCTATACAGCTTAAAGTGACATTTAAAGGCTTAACTAGATTAATTAGGGTATCTAGGCAGGTTAGGGTAATTAGGCAAGTTATTGTATAATGATGGTTTGTTCTGTAGACTATTGAAAAAATATATAGCTTAAAAAGGCTAATAATATTGACCTTAAAATGGTTTTTAAAAAATTAAAAGCCGCTTTTATTCTAGCCAAAATAAAACAAATAAGACTTTCTCCAGAGGAAACAATATTAGACAAACTGTAAAGATGTCCTTGCTCTGTTAAACATCATTTTGGAAATATTTAAAAAAGAAATACAATTCAAAGGGGGGCTAATAATTCTGACTTCAACTGTATAACAAATAAAAAATAAAGCAACTGTTTCACTATACATAAACATTTAGCAGTAAAAAATGGTTTAATAATTTTTAAAATTCTGTTTTAAATCAGCAATGATAGTCATATAACTAATAATACAAGCTCTTTTATTATTAATTAATTTATATTCGATATTATGTATTTATATTATTAACTTGTATTCGATTTTAAATATATTTAGTTAAATATAAAAGAAGAGATAAGTAAAAGAAAAAATAAGTTTAAGTAATAGACGAATGATGTGTGTGGTTATGGGGTGGGAAAATAATAAGCTTGTGCTTCATCCCGCTCCATGTTGATATGTACAGTTGAAGTCAGAATTATTAGCCCCCCTGTTTATTTTTTTCCCAATTTCTGTCTCATTTCCAAACATAACAGATTTAATAACTCATCTCTAATAATTTATAAGTAAATAATATTTGACTAGATGTTTTTCAAAACACTTAACTAGGTTAATTAGGCAGGTTAGGCTAATTAGGCAAGTTACTGTATAACGATGGTTTATTCTGTTGACAATCGAAAAAACTATAGCTTAAAGGGGGTTATAATTTTGACCTCAAAATAGTTTAAAAAATAAATATAAACTGCTTTTATTCCAGCTGAAATAAAACAAATTCTTGAATTGAAATAAAAAACTTTCTCCAGAAGAAAAAATATTATCAGACATGCTGTGAAAATTTCATTGTTATGTTAAACATCATTTGGGAAATATAAAACAATAGGGCTAATAATTCTGACTTTAACTGTTTTTTTTTTTTTGTTAAATAATTTTTATGGATGGTATTTCTGTTTGAAAATAACAATATGAAATTATGATTATGAAATAAAAAGCTCTTAATTTTCATATTTTTGTCATAAAACAAGAATTAATATGGTAATATTATTTAATAGTTATTTTGTTTCTCAGGTCATTTCCTTTACAATTCCTGTTGTTAATTTCTTTATTTAACAGAACTTGCCCTGTCTTAAATTTAACAAATTCCCACAAATTTAAATATTCATACATGCAAATGCCAAATCAGAAAGTGAGTTTGGAAAAAGATAATGAGAGGATTTATAATTTGGCATGAAACCAAATCATGACAGTATCAAACTCCTCTTCGTCTTTCTTCTCAAACTCCCAAAGCCAATTGATCTACATTCTCCATTAGTTCGCATTAATTATTTAATAAGCCCATTAAGAACTAATAGATGACAAGCAACAAACAGAATAACAGATGAAGCGGAAACTTGAGTTTGTAAATGTTTAGCTCGGCACCAGAGCAGTCGGGGTTTACTCATCTGCTAATATCTCTAGTTTACTTGCGCTTTAATTATTTTCTTGGAAAATGTTAGTCCCCTCAGAATTGCAGGGAAATATGAAAGACTTCTGAATGCTGTTTGTCATCTGTAAATGGATGAGTCTGAAGACTTAATTTGCATTAGGGTTGACACAATACCATCAATTCAGACCACGATACTATACCAGCTGAAGAATCACGATACCTAGTATCTGTAAAACCGTGCAACCCTCATTTGCATATTTGCATATTCATGAAAGATGAACTGTCTTTAAGCTTTGGGAAATTTGCATTTTATTCTTCATCTTTTCTTCTGCTTTAGTCAATGAGAAGAATTTATAATAGTTTCAATGAGCAGTAGCAGCACTGGACTGAACTGAATGTGTGTGTGTGCGCTTGTGTTTTGCAGACGGTGAAGCTGAAAGCGGAGGCTCGTCTGGATCTCCTCCGTCAGGTCGGGGTCTCTGTGGATACGTGGCTGAAGAGTGCCATGAATCAGGTGATGGAGGAACTGGAGAACGAGCGCTGGGCGTCTCTGCCCACCATCACTGCCCACGAGCTCTCGCTGTCGGTGAGCAACACACATAGACACATACATACAGACAAAGACACACATTACATCACATATATATGAGCAATATCACACGAGTAACAGTGCCATATGGCTGTATATCGACACTGGTGGGAGGCGTGCGATGCCTTAGTGCCCCCACCAGTGCGATATACAGCCATATCGCACTGCTACGAGTGTGATATTGCGTTTATACAACAGCTTGACGGTATAATTGTGTAAATAAAACCAAAATTAAACATGGAAAGTTTCAAAAACCCTTTTGTATGTGGAACTACTTTCTTCCACATGGGATTTAAATCATAAGCTGGCAGTTAAAACAGTTGAGCGTGCATCTTTTAAACTTTAGATCTGTAGTGTGCTTTTTGCTGGCTGTATGTGGGCGGAGTAATACACAAAAGGTAAAGAGGCTGTAGGAGTTCTGATATTGCAGAATATCGCACGGCTATCAGCCAATCAGATTTTAGAACCAGATAGAACTGTTGTATAAACAAATATACATGCATACGCACACACACATACATACTTGCCTACATACACATACACACACATATATTCCATCACACATGCATACATACGCACACACACATTCATATGTGCACAAACACACAATGAATATTATTTTCAGCCGTTTTAAACATTATAAATAGTTTGAACAATAACACTGTGCTGTGCTTACAGGTAAAAAAAAACTAAATAAAATGACGTTTTAATTAAAATGTGCTTTTAAAAGTTAAAATAAAATGGTAGACTACTGTTCTTAAAAAGTTTTTTAAAACAAACTAAAACTCCTGGACTTAAAGGGTCATGACACCCCCCACTTTCGGTTCAGGTCTACCTCAGAATTTTTCAAAAGACGCATCGTAATGGGCGTGGAGCTCCACGAGAAAACAGTAGGAGTGGGCGTGGCCATCAGGGGAGAAGGAGGGGATTGAACAGCTGTTGTCAGTCAGCTCACAAAGTGAGACACAAACCGTGAGGAGACGCGTGACTTTATATTTACAAAGTCAAAATGCAAAGAAATAAACAGTGATTTAATGCCCTGCTGCATTTGTCATTTGTAATTTCATACACAAAACCACAATTTATATCATTATAAAGATAATCATGTTCATACAAACACTATAAATGAGGACGTCTCCCTCAATCCCCAGGTCTGAATGCAGACTCAGTGCAGCAGGTCTCTTGCCCTGTCTATTTTAACCATTAGCCCTGCTGGTAATCTGGAGGATTTAGGCCAACACAGCAGCACGGAGATCTGTCTAAATGTGAACGAACTCCTGATAAAAGACAACGTCCGCCATTCTCCAATTCTTGTACTGCTCTCCCGACCAAAATGCTTGCTGCACACACACAGCTTTGCTGTATGATCGGCCCCGACAGCATCGCGTTGAAAAACCTACAACAAACCCCGTGAATCATGGAAACAAACACATACGAGCCATCATGAACGGCTAAATACTGTGGGCTGTGGGTCCGTGGACGCTGACTAACCCAGTCATCAACGTAGGATCTCACAGCTTGGCACTGGCAGGTCTGCCTTGCCTTCGGAAAGCACTTGCAGTCATGAATAATTAAGAAGCCGGCTCTTCTCATAGGATAAGAAAACTCCGCTATGAATAATAATGAGAAACCGACGCTTCATCTCTCCACTTGCAGTTTTGCGCTACGTCACCGATTTTGACTCTCCCCAAAAATCATTGGTCCCACTTTATATTAAGTGTCCTTAACTACTATGTACTTACATCAAAAAATTAATACAATGTACTTACTGTGTTTATAATGTATTTGAGAACACTTGTGGTCCTTTTGAGTTGGGATAGAGGTTGGGTTATGGACAGGTTTGGTGGCATGGGTAGGTTTAAGGGTGGGTTAAGGTGTAAGGGATGGTCAACAGTGTATTTACAAATGTAATTACAAAAGTTAACTACAGATGTAATTACATACATGTATTTAATCAAGCATAAGTACACAGTAAATACATGTATTTACACAACATGTACATTGTAACAAACTATTAATTCCTGTGTAAGTACATATTAGTTAAGGCCACTTAATATAAAGTGGGACCAAATCATTTTAAACAAAATTAGCAGACAAAAGCTCAAAATTATCCAGTTTTTCCCACAATACAACTAACAGGTGCTAACATTGTCTTAACTGATGCTCAACACACACAAATCTGTTAACATCTCAATAAAAAGTACTCCAGGGTTTCGTGTACCTTTAAATGTAAAGTAACATATAGCAGCCTATTCATAAAAACCTGGAAATGTTGCTTGGACTAAATATAGTCATCATATTCATATATAAATCATTAGTGATACATTTTTTTTATATTTATTTTGCATGTATATATGACATATTCCTCCGGGTAACACTAGTAGGATGCCCATGTACCACTAGTGGTACACGTACCAAAGTTTGAGAACCACTGATCTTTAAAAATATGTTACCTACATAAATTATATCCCATATGAATATCAGTTTTCACTCAATATCTCCCAGTTGTGTCATAATAAGCTGATATTTACAGTAAACGTCAGATTATAGACAGATTATATGCGGTACATTGTGTACAGATCAGGAAACATGCATATCAGAGGTGATAAAACAGACTACACAGTGTTAAGATAACAGTGTGTGTGTGTGTGTGTGTGTGTGTGTGTGTGTGTGTGTGTGTGTGTGTGTGTGTGTGTGTGTGTGCGTAACTTATCAAAGAGCTGTTTTATGTCAACAGTGGGCGTGGTCTGTTACTCTGTAACTCCGCCCACCAAGTTACATATTACAATGACCTCGCCTGCTCTTTTGATACAAACTGCAGTTCTTTTGACCTTCACTGACTGACTCGGAATCAGTTTTCATATCCATTATCATAACCGGTTGAAGCCGGTTATATGAGCTTCACCTGTGGAGGTATGAGTGTCCAGTTCCAGTGCTCATAATCTTATATCCTTCAGTTGCAGCGTTTTTGTCTTTTGAGAAAAATGGTCTCATGATCTTTATTTGACCAATGAGACTGTCTTATCAAGCAGGTGGGTGTGGCTAGCGGTGGGAGGGGCTAGTTATTGTTAAATCCTGTGGTTTGTAATCCTCAGGTTAACATTTTCGAGGTTATTGAACTGAATCAACAAGAGGTCTGTGCTGTTTGCTGGTGTAGTGACGCTCATTGTGGTGTTTTTCTGTAGACCACGGTGGATTTGGACAGAGAGGAAGGAGAAGAATTAGAGGAGAACATGGAGACGTATGACGACAGCAGCTCAAGTCCTTCAGGAACACTGAGAAACTACCCCCTCACCTGCAAAGTCATCTACTCCTACAAGGTAAAAACACCAACTCATGTTCATTTAACTGAGGATTAGAGACCATGTGTAGTGAAGTGCAGAAATTAAAATCACACTTTGCTTGTTTATAAAACTTAATATTTATCATTTATTTATATAATTTTATGCATGGTATATTATTTAAAAAATGAAAAACTATATTATAAAATATTTTAACATGTATTTTTATATGTATTTAATTTTAATTCATTTATATTTAATAAATTTTACTGTGTTAAACTATATGTAGAGCCTTAGTATAATTTAATTTTTATTTATATACATGTTATGTTTATGCATGTATATGTATATTTATTAGCCCCCTATTTTTTTTTTCCCCAATTTATGTTTAACGCAGAGAAGATTTGTTCAACACATTTCTAATCATAATAGTTTTAATAACTCATCTCTAATAACTGTTTTATTTTATCTTTGCCATGATGACAGTAAATAATATTTGACTAGATATTTTTCAAGACACTTCTATACAGCTTAAAGTGACATTTAAAGGCTTAACTAGGTTAATTAGGTTAACTAGGCAGGTTAGGGTAATTAGACAAGTTATTGTATAACGATGGTTTGTTCTGTAGACTATCGAGAAAAAAATAACTTAAAGGGGCTAATAGTTTTGACCTTAAAATGGTTTTTAAAAAATTAACAACTTCTATTACTCTAGCCTAAATAAAACAAATAAGACTTTTTTCAGAAGAAAAAATGTTATCCGACATACTGAGAAAATTTCCTGAATCTGTTAAACATCATTTGGGAGATATTAAAAAAAGAAAAAAAATTAAAGGGGGCTGATAAATCTGACTTCAACTGCATATATACGTAGTTATCTATAGTATAATATCAATAAAATTATATTATATAAATGTATAATATATTTTCTGTATTTATAATTTAAATACGTATAATTTATCAACTGAACTTATTTTACTAAACTTTTATTAACTTAACTTACAATACTTATATCAACTGAACTGTATGCATCATTTATTATCAAATATTTAATTTAATAATTACAGATTAACTTTAATGAATTGTATATAAAAAAAATTATTTAAATAAATGAGTGTACCTGCTTTTATTTTATTAATCAAAAAGTTATATTTTTTATAAACAGGCACAAAATAGCTCCTTTAGAAATGTAATTTAATATTATTTTTAGTATTTTTAATGTAATAATATAAACAGGCATTATCTGAAATGTGTGAGTGGTTTTTGTTAACTAAACCATTTATTTATATAATTATTATATTTATATATTTATTGGATCATTTATTTAAAGTTTATACTTGTAAAACTTACCAGTTGATATAATAATAAAGATTATAAAATGTACATATTGAAAACTAAGATAAAGCTGACTAATACAAAATTGACCAAACTGAAAAAAGTTAAATAAAAAAATATACATTTAAAAGGTAATAAATGATGTTAAAACTAAAATAACTGTGATTACAGAACCAAAAAATAGAAAGGTCACTTCAAAATATTTATAAGTAATATAATCATATATAAACAATACAGATTTGATTTTGTTTGAAACAGCTAGTTTCTGCTTATGCTATCTGACAATTACATTTTTTGAAGAAATTCAATTTTGATTTCAAAA